AATATATATATATATATATGTATATATATATATTGACACAAGAGAGAAGAGAACAGAGAAGAGAGAAGAAGAGGAGAGAGAGTTGGTACTTACGATTTTTCGGCCTAGCCCGTGTTGCACAACAACACCCACACTATAGAACGATTCCTCGGGCTTTTCTGTAGGATACACTCTCTGGCATTATTTTGGTGACTGTGTGGAGCCTATAGGCACCATCGATGGACACTACCTTTCCATTGAGTTGTTGGTTCACGTGGAATTAAAAACTAGAATGGCATGACTGCAAAAAAGACAGCGGAGCCAGCCCGGCGGGATTCTACGAAAGCTAGGAATTTTCTCCAACGGCCGCCCATCCGACACCGGTGGGAATAGGCTTATTTCCGCCAACTAAAATACAAACATACAGGGATGTATTATAGTTAGGATGGAGAGAGGGCCGTTTTCATGTCAGACACGCTACTTAAAAGCGCCTGCTGGCGATTCCCCTGGAGCCGAGGAGAATTCACTAGGGTGCTGCTAAAGTTGGAGGAGGTGCGTACACACCCACTACAGCTATGCGAAAGAGGAACTATCAGTTTTATGGGTTATTCACACCTGGTGTTTCCGTGTTTCCGTAAGCCGGCGGAAGGCCTAGTGGTCTACACCAATGGGACAGTGGTGCCACGAGCAATTAGACCGACTGCCCAGCACCTTTGTAGCTTCAATAGCACGCATTTCAGCTCTTCTAACTGGTTTAAAGCAAAGTTGATAGATTTTAGAGCCGCAGAATGGCCAGTCGGATGTCCGGATGCTGCAGCACGTCAGCCAGTCAGCCTGCAGTCAGGAAACCATGTGGGGTTTTCGTGGCTGTCCTCCACAGGCTCCCTTGTCCACCACAATTACAAATTCTTCATCGTAGATGTGTTCAGAAATAAGTAATAAGGGAAGCAATAATACCGGCGGGGAGACTGTAGGGGACGTTTACACCCACCGTGCAAGGGCGTGCGGCGAGGCACTGCAGCAGAAACACCAATTAACAACCAGCTGTTAAGTTTCGTTAAGAATGTAGCAGCTTCGTTTAATTCTGCAGTTTTTGTTGAGTGGTGGGGGTACTCAACCCATCGAACTTGTTCGTGACTTACATTTGTGTCCGCCCAAGCATTGGATTAAAATGAAGCCTGCTGGTGTCATCGAACAACGGAGAAGCTCGCATGAAGGCGAAGCACTCGAATCATTCAACACATCATTTGGGATTGAAGCTGCTGATACATTTCCAAATCTGTCTCATTCATCCACCCCTGCTCGGGCTCATTTCACCCCGGCGATCCTTGCAACCGCCCGCACCAATTTCAAGGCACGGTCTGGAAAGCGGTCTCTTTTTCCTCCACTGCCTGCCGCAATTCCACTTCTCGGAATCTTACTCATTTGGTCTGTATGCGCAGCAGCTCGTTTCAAAGAACAGCCTGCTACGGCCGCCCAACGCCGGCTGTCCGACCGTGATCTGGGTATGGATGACGAAGAACAGTCTGTATTGGAGGAGTGCTTGGCATTGGAAGCAGATCTGGGGATTATCCGCCCACAAGCTGCCTCCCCTTCTGACGGTGACCGGTCAAGACGTATCGCGGAGCTCGTGTCTCTATTGTCCGGTGCTGCTGCTGAGTATGAATTGAAACAAGGTGTACAACAAGCGCCGGTTGAAGATGCAACCTTTAACGAGGTCCCCGATTCTGCACAGGCCAGCATAGGCGCCGGCATACTTTCAAGAGGATGCCGAAGCGGTGAGGGATCTGGAGGTGCGAAACAGGACCTTGAACCCCTTGAAGGCTATGCTTCTGGCGTGAGTTCCGAACTGAAGCCCGACGAGTGGATAGAAGAGAAGACAGACAATCAATATGAGCATAGTGAGACAAGAGGAGGTGCGTTGTCATTTGGCATAGTTAGCGTGCCACAACGTGGAGAGGCTTCAGGTGTTGTCAGCTTGGTCTCAGCGAATCCGCAGCTTCCTGCCCCCAGAAAGGCATTCTATTCGTCCAAAGACCCGTGCAAT